AGACTGTATTCTCCTTATAAATTGTTACAGCTAGTCTTCATTACATGCACTTTTAATTGTTTAATGACCAGAACTCACATGCTGCTCTTCCCTTTCACAAACTAGGGTAATGTGAATTTTTTGTCTAAGAGCTTCATCACTATCAATTCGTTTTGCCCTATACCTGGGAAATTTAATTAGCTAGAGGTGGGCTATGATCTCCTTCATTGCTTGTCACAGGACTCAGGGTTTGCAGTCTTTTCCCATCAAGCAGTACCAGCAAATGTTTGGGAGCAGTGCATTTAAGTGGGATCTCTAATTGTTCCACAGGGCTGCAGAAGACAACAATCTTGGGAGGGCAGACACATGTACCTCCTAAATAGATGTGGTTGTGATAAATTTATACACAGATGCTACTGTAATGTCCAGAGAGGGGATGTATCATGCTTTAGCAACCTGCTGTGATACAGTTCTAAGAAAGGCAAAATCCATCCCTGGTCTGGTAGGTTGGTTGTGTTTCTGGCTTCACTGTGAAGCTCTGCTAATGCTCCCACTGGAAATGCCAGTGAGGAAAACCACCAAGTGCAAAAAGCCATAATATAATGAAGACACAAGAGTGTCAAGTCTAGAAAACTGCATTAATAAAGAAAGAAATACAGCAGTAGTGGATTGGAGCTGTAGAGCAAGAGATGCATAAGTCAGTGTGTTTAATGGACTCCAGCATTAGGGTCTCACAAGTAAGTGTAATATTCTGCATATGATGTATTATTTTAGGAAACTATATATTGCATTATCTAAAAGTGTATGATGTTCTACATCTTTTCTTTCATAAGGATAGGTGCATTAGTTACCATGAGCACTGTGCAGATCTGAGGGAAAGAAAAATTGTAACCAATGCCTCTTACAAACTGCAAAATTACATAAAATTGCTTTTCAGTCCAGTAATGTCATGGCTGTGATATCCAATCTTGTGTGCTCTGAAAGGATTAGAAGAAACAAAAGCCTTACTCCATTTTGAAAAAAGATCCTGAGCTGTTGTAGGGAATTTTTTTCTCAGTTATGAAATCTATAGGTGGCTGTGTGGGATGAATGCTTCTTATATTGACCCTTGGATTGCTGGGTCTTGAAACAAATTTATCTTTTTCTGTTGAATATTTGGTGGGTTTTTTTTGTTTTTGGTTTACTTGTCTTTTAAAACAAACAATAAGAGTTAATATGGTTTGGTTTGGTTTGGAGCGTTCTACACCAACCCTGCAGAATTTTTGAGCAAAGTGCAGGTGAAGTGGTTAAGAGTGCACAGGCTGGAGTTTTCCTGATTTCCTGTGAAATTTTATATTTACTTATTTTTTAGGAAGATTGAGGGGAAAACCAAAATGAGAGCTTCCTCCTATTCCAGCTTTTGTGAGGTGAAAATGTAAAAATTAAAGTCCATATTCCTTCTTTACTTGAGCTCTGTGCTATATGTGGGGAAGAGATTTGAAAGAAAAGAGCATAAGCAAAATTGGCAAATAGTGTGAATACAATACAAGTACAAATAGCTAATGCAAGTAGCTGAGAAGTCTTGGTCTGTAATTTAGGTGAGATTATTTTTGCATCCAGGATTGATCTTGCTTCCTCTCTGCAGGATCACAAAGGGGTTGGATAAGTAGCTATGTTGTGTATTTTTCTGGCCACAGGGCACATGCTCCTACAGGTTATTTCTGGTAACATTGGTCCTGCCCAGTAATTTCAATAATGTGTATTTTGTATTTGTGTAAGAAAATACCTAGCTTGATTAGGCCAGGAAATATGAACTAAGCAGGGAAAGACTTACTTTGTGAGGATTTAGCAGTCAAGAATTTCAGAGGTAGCCAAATTCCATTATTAAAGATGATGCTAATTACTCAAGATCCTAAACTAACACCTAACTCAGGCTTACTGCAACACAGGAATAATTCTAGGAATTTTGCAAAATTACTCGCAGTATCAAAGTCTGTGACAGCAGACCTTTTTGCTGTCATGTCTTGTGACCTGTAACAAATTTAAAGCCTTGTGGGACTTGTATGTCAAGGATGTGAATTATATGGAGGGAAATTAGTGTAAAACTCATGTACTCAAACTACAGTGAATTAAAAATTTTGTGTTAATTACTCATTTGGAAAAGAGGAGGAGTAAAGTATGTGAACTAAGACCACTATGATCAGAATAATGACTGAAAGCACTTCAATGCCCACATTGCTGCACTTCCTTTAGCAGTTTGGCCTGAAGTTATTCAGAATATTTTTAACCTCATCAATTGTAAGTATTTCAAAAGTGGCCTTCAATATTTAAGTGTGTAGCAAATTCATTTATATATTGTATTTTATTCCATTTAGATGATGGATTCAGTATATCATCACTAGAAGGATATTCTTTTTTCACTTGTGCCATGATCTTTAATTTGGTGTTGAAATTCGAAGACCTTCTAACCAGGAGGATAAGGGATGTCAGAGGGAGAGTGAAAAGCTTTTATCAGCTTTGGATTTTGGAGTAGAAATAGTCTGTTGGAATAGACTTTATCACATTTAGGGATAAGTAGACAGGCAAAGGAAGGTGTCATGCCCTTTCCTTTCTTCTTTCAAGTGAAAGAAAGCTTTCTAGCAGGACAGTAGCAATGGTTAAGCTCTTGGATCCTTGTTTTTAAAATTGTTTTAATTCAATCTGTCCCTTTTCTAACCTGGTAGAGGACTCAATCACTGAGGATAGACGATGGCAAAAAGCAAATGTTCAGCATTGTGTTTCCATACTGTGACACGAAGCTGTGCCACAGCTCAGTTGTGCCAGCCAGAGGAGCCAGCCAGTCGGAGCACAGAAAGCTGTACTGTGTAACTTCTGTAAGTAATTTTCTGGATGAGGACTGTATTTGCAGCAAACCTTTTATGAGCTGACTGCACATGAAGAATAATCCTCAAGATAATGAGCACATTTGAGAATCTTGATAACTATTCATGGGCAATTTTCAGGCAGATGCCAAATGAGTTCAGCTAACGTCACTCATCAAGGACAATATTTTGCCAATATTTTGGAATGCTGCTGTCTCTGTGAGAGGCTGTTGATCTTTCTTTTAAAAAAGCCTGTCCTATGTAAGTGCAGTTGCAATAATGTGTGTAGATCACAGTGGAGGCCCCTGATAGAAGCCACAGCTCCTGAAGCCTGGCTGGTTGCCATATCTGTAATCCATGCCATGCCACTGCTGCTGAGGGAGGTGCTGGGTGCAGGATGCTGACTGAGTCCTGGGGATGACCCTGGGTGAGAAGCCACGGGAGATCACAGCTGTTCATCCTGACACCTTAACTGTCTGTTAGGCAGAACACAATTGAGTCAAATTAACACTCTGCATCGCTGCTAAAGGGTACCTTTCCCTTTCCCTGGAAAAAAGAGGGAATGCAGCCACTAAATTATTTAGTAAATGTAGCAAACTCTTCTCATTTTCCCTGAAGAGACATTTTTGTAAGTTTTCTATGATCATAGCTTTCATCTGTATATAGACCAAGATGCTGAAATGTCTTCACCATTTATGAAATCTGTAAATTACCTAAGGAAAAGTCTGTCATAATTACTAAATCTTGTTGAGAAGATAATTATGCTGAACATTAAGAACACATCTACATGGAAATCCAGGGATCTCTTATGTTCTAAGCTGTATGTTTTCATAGTTTCTGGGGGAAATTTTGGACAGATGGCACAGGTGATTTAGCAGAAGATTGCAACCTCCTTTCTGGGAACTTAATTTAAAGTTTCTTAAATGCTCTAAATGCTTATTCTGCCTGGGTGTAATGCATCTGAAACCAAATCAGTGCTGCAAAGAAAGACTTTCTTCTCTATAACATTGTGGAAAGGGGCTGTAACAGATGCAGAAGGCGCGGTTTTGGGCTGAATAGAGAAAAGTACAAACCTTCATTTCAGGTCCATGTTTTTTAGACAAAGAAATTCTTCTATTAAGAAGGTTCACAGCTGTCATATGTTAAAAGAGGCTGGCTTCCCTTCTCTTCCTCAAAGACAATGAGGGCAAATATTTTCTGGATCATTCCTTGTTCACAAATATATTGATGATAGACTTTACCCTAGGCAGACCCTTAATGTGAAAGCAAGTATTTGCACAAGTACATATTTCATACTAACAGCTCTCCTTTCATGAATGCTGATTTGCAGAGGTTTTTGATTGTAGTTCATCATTAAATCAAAGAATTGATCTCTGGAAATAAATGTAGTATTTACAAATTGTTTTTCAGTATTTACCACCTGCTTGTAATGTGAACTAAGAGTAAGAATGTACTGTCCACTGGGGAATCTTACCAAAAGCTTCCATAGGGAAAATGCAAGTTATAGAATTTTCAGCATAAGTTTCTGTCCTACTGAAATTTCCCTAATCTTTAAAGAGCTGCTGTAGCCTTTTAAGAGTTAAACGTTGTCTACATGAAAGTAAATCTGCCTGAGTGAAAATACAGGAAAATACAGAGATCTGTATTTTCCACTTCAGATTTTTTCAATGAATCTATCTATAAAACCAGGATTTTCTCTTTGTTTTGAAGAAGTGCTGAAACAGCCCACATAAAACAACTAAATGTCAATTTAATTGCTTTCTTTCTCATGTTTAAGAACAAATCATGGAACTCTTTTTGGCAGCTGATTAGTCATGACTGAGATCCCCCAGTTTATTGTGCCCCTCCTGTGCCCCCTCCTGTGCCCTCTCCTGTATCCTCTCCTGTGCCCTCTCCTGTGCCCCTCCTGTGCTCCTCCTGTGCCCCCTCCTGTGCCCTCTCCTGTGCCCTTCCTGTGCCCCTCCTGTGCCCTCTCCTCTGCCATCTCCTGTGCCCCTCCTGTGCCCTCTCCTGTGCCCCTCCTGTGCCCTCTCCTGTGCCCCTCCTGTGCCCTCTCCTGTGCCCCTCCTGTGCCCCTCCTGTGCCCTCTCCTGTGCCATCTCCTGTGCCCCTCCTGTGCCCTCTCCTGTGCCCTCTCCTGTGCCATCTCCTGTGCCCCTCCTGTGCCCCTCCTGTGCCCTCTCCTGTGCCCCTCCTGTGCCCCTCCTGTGCCCCTGCCCTCCGCTGCTCCGCGTTCCAGGGGCTCCATCCCGCGCTGCTCCAGCTGCCACCTGCAGCTCTGCCCCGGCTTCCCAAGAGTTACCCTGCAGAGAAGGGACAGGCCTGTTGGGCAAGGGACTCGCTCCTTGACTGAAAAGAGGAATTGTTCCCTGAACTACCTGGAGTGGTGCTTTTCTGCAGAAGTGTTGGTGTGGCCACCAGCCAGTGTGGGAGCTCGCAGGGCCACTGACCTCAGTGCAGCTCAGGGCCAGCACTTCTGGCTTTTAGCTGCACATCATTGCCTTGGAACAAAGAAACAGGTTTCTTTTCACTTTGTCATAACTAAATGATAGATAAGGTTTTTCTCAAACCTAAATCAAAACCTACTTTTATTGGGGATTGAACAAGAAAAATTTCTGCTGCAGAAGAGAGGGCATTGTTTTGCAAAGCTGTTAACATTTGAGAGAAAGCTAGCATCAGACTCAGCTAGCACATATGGAGCATTTCACAGACATGACCCCAGACTATTTGTCAGCATTTAGTTTCCTGAAGCTTGCAGTTGAATAGATGGCTGGGCAATGTTACACTCAAACATTCATTCAACACAAGAGGCCCTATCTCTTGTGGCATGATTTTGAAATGGGCTCGTAATAACTGTGATGAATCAAATAAAGGAGTACATGCTGTAGTTATTTGGTAAATATATGTCCTGGTGAATCCATGGGAGTAAAACTGTTCTCATTCTTCTATGATATTTCAAAAGTGCAGCAGCTTGTGTCCTCAGCTGAGAGGATGTTTGAAAAATACTGTTTGGGATCATAGATGGGTGGCTGCCTCCTTAGCTGAGGTGAAAACCCATTCTGGGTTATCAGCTATGCCTACCTAGTCAACCCACTTGCTCGAAAAACTGTTTCTTCATTTTTCCACTGTATCTCCTTTACGAAAATTGTGAAAACTGTGTATTGGTATCATTGAAAGAAATTTGGGTGTCTCTGTAGAAGGCAACCAGTAAACAACTTGTCTGTGCTCAGATCAGAATTTAACCCAGCTCCTGTGAGAATTGTTAAAAGCAAAAATTGAGGAAGTTTTCTTGCAAAGTGTTTTTGATGAATATTTTGTAAGATTTTTTTGTTAATAACTCTTATCTCCCAGCTGGGCAGAATATGGCTGATAATCTTAGGTATCTGATAAAGCAGCAGGAAGAAGTGCATTTTGCTAAAGAGTAAATCTGAATTCCTGTTCAACTTACTTTTATCACTTTTGTCCTTAGAGATGTCCTCCATGTGTACTTTAAAAGCTTTCACTAGGGAACATAAATTTCAAATCCCACCTATCTCTGTGAGCAGTCAGGAATACTAACTAATTTCTTACATCTTTTGTCTGTGGGCGTTGTTAATTAGGGGTATTCACAGTGACTGGTAACTACGAAAATAGCTAAACAAACTTCTTCCTAATGTTTGTCCTTATGTGTTTGTCTGTCACTAAATGTAATGGGCCATTTCTGTGGGCTCATTATGCTGATAGTACATTTTGTTTTCTCTTTACCCTATTGTGATTAAGGAAGCATAACCAGAGCGGCCCAGAATAATTGGAAACTCTTCAGCTGGCTTCTCCACCTGTAATTGCATGGTCTGTAGCGGGCTGATGTAGGTGTAAATGTAGACTCATTTGTCCATTACTGAAGGATTTCTCAAAACAAAGGCAAAGAAGTGTTATATAAAAGATGGCCTCAAGTATATTCAGGATTGAAAAGCAGGGAAAACAGTCTTGCTCCTCTATGCTGACTCTTACTGAAACTGCTGTGGCACAGGTAAAGTGTGTGATTACAGGACTGCTCCAGAGAGGATTATGCAGCCACTTGTACTTGGTGTTGTTCAGTGTTTTCTGTTCCCACTCCTGGCCCTGCACAGCACCCCACAGGAGCCACACCATGTGCCTGACAGCATTGTCTTCCTTCAACTCAGTCAGGCTTGGTGCTGTGAACACTTCCCTGGGGAGTCGGTTCCAGTGCTCAACCACCCTCTGGGTAAACACTTTTCTTGATACCTAAGCCTCCCCTGACTCAGTTTCATGCTGTTCCCTTGGGTCCTGTCACTGGTCCCAAGAGTGAGGAGACGGATGTTTGGCCCTCACGTTTCCCTTGTGAGGGTGTTGAAGACCACAGTGAGGTTTCTCTGCTTTGGTGTCTTGTGCCTTGATTCTGCCTTGATTTTGATGCAGCTCAACAGACAAAATTCTCTTTTTATCACCCACTTTTCTTTGGGATGTGTTGGCTCCTGCTAGGATAGGAATGGAGTGCAATACTGATAGAAATCAACTTTGTGAAGCAATAAACAGAAAATATGTTCTATCACTATGCCCAAGGGAATCATATCAAACCTTAGTTATCCATGTGTTCGAGGCCAAGCCTTAAGGAAAAAGAGGGTACATGAATATATGGTATAAAAATATAGATTGCTTCTCTTCACTCTCCATCTGTGGACCTTCAAGAGCTCTATAAACACAAGCTCACTGAGCAGCTGTGTACCCCAAGGAGGCAGATAACACAGTCATAAAATATGCCAAGCAATTTAAGGGTCCAAATCTTGATACATACCACAGGGTTGTAAGAATTAAATAGAGTAGTTTTAACAGAGACACACTCTTCTGGGAGATTTTTCTTATAGAAGCAGTATAAGATCAAACACCCCTTTTGATCATTTTCCAGACTTTGGAGGTGCTTAGTCTTTGAGCAGAATCAGAAGAGATTGCTATATAAATAATGTGAACCAAGACCTCTGGAGGAAGGTGTTTGGTTCATCTAGGTGGCTGGAAACAACAGGGATTCTCCTGAGCTTGTTTTAACTCTTGTGTAGGGCTCCCTCAGCACACTGAAAAACTTTTCTCACTTTTAGCAATCTCCTTTCAGCATTATTTTAATCTGAAAGATCTCTTGAACAAAAGTGATTTTAAAGCAGTCTGCAATTTTTGATTCCATTTATTTCCTGGCTACTCTGATATCAAAGGCAGCAGGAAGCAAAAGTGAAAAGAAATGCAGTAAAGCAGCTGTAGGACCAGCTGTTGTGGGATCACACAGGAGCCCTGCTTTGCTGTGTGACCAAGTGCTCCATGTGGGGCTCCCTTCCATGGCACAGCCAGGGTCTGTCTCCACTGGCACTCTGTCTGTCCATCAAGGAAGCAGGTGTGCTCAGATTCATTCTCCTCATGTGGAAAAAGGGCAGGAAACATGAAAATTGATGCAAACATCAGTAATGCTTCGTCCTGCTGCCTGGGAGAAAAGGAGTGACTTCCTGACACTCTCAGGAAAGTGGGGCAGGAGCTGCTGGAGGGGCAGGTGGTGTCTGGCTAAACGCTCTTGGGTGCACAGAGGAAGACAGGGAATCCTGCCTGGATTGCAGAGTGAAGCCTCCCCATAGGGAATGGTTCAAGGTGAGAGGAGGACAAATGATCTAAGTGCACAAATTTTCAATTTATTCTTTAAAAACCTTTCTTGCCAGATGTAATGAAGAGTAATGCCACAAAACAGAGGATGAAAATAATTTCTTCTTTGTCTCTTGTGTATGCGGTAACAATGTAACCAAGAGCTACCCCACTTTTAATGAGAACTTCACTGCTTTGTTATTCTTTCTCACTCTTCCTTTGTGTTTTTCTTTGAATAAAACAATTTCCCTGTCTGTATAGCTCAGAGTGTGTGTACTTTGCAAAGATGCTGCCATCTGCCATTTACTTTCCTTTCTGAACTGTGATCTTAGACATATATTTCAGGGAAAAGGAAGTCAAGTGGTTGAGTTTATTCTCCTTTTGTGTGAACAACAATGCAAATAATTCCAGAGGCAGGCAGTAAGGCTGCCTGAAATGCCAACTGCAAATCTCCTTTTCAGCAAGGCATTAATTCATTCTGTGAAAAATATGCTGGGTAAAAAACTCCATTTCAATTCCTCCTCCTGTGCCCTGGCTGGATCAATTAAACTCCATATAGCAATTTTTGAGATAAAGTCAAATAATTTTGTACATTTTCTAACCCTTATTCCAGATCATTTTCCTCTCAGTCTCCTGCTACAGGTGCCTCCTGCAGCAGACAGGGGAGCAGTGGTGGATGCTGCTGGACACATGGCAGGGCCAAGGCTGCCTGTCCTTGGGTCACCCTGGCCTGCCACGAGGAAGTTTCTCATCTCCAGCCAGGACATGGCCCTCTCAGAACCCAGGACCCCTCAGGGGGTGAAGGGGATTAATGGTCCCCTCCTTAACAGGGAAAATGAGAGGGGCTCATCTTGCTCCTCAACTGCTTGTGCCTTGTTTTTGGAGGTGAGTGCTGCAGGAGCTGACAAAAAAACTACATGAGATCAAGATGAAAAACATTTCTTTGCATCTGGGAAACTAGAGCCAGTGTGTCTGTAAGCTGGCAGTGCCAAAAAAAAAATACCCCTGCATTCATTAATGCTTCATGATGATTTTTAGCCTGATCAGTTCCCTGGCCAGATGTGCCTCATGGTCACACAAAAGCCTGGACCAGCACAGCCAAGGGGCATCATCACTTTGAAATGAGAGGATGAGGCAAAATGGGGCAGACCTGTCTTCATGACCACACTCCTGTCTTAAATGAGTGAGAACTGAGGCCTTATTAGAGAACTGAGGGCTCCCCTTATTCCCTTGGGAACTGTAGCAATAGCCCCAAGATTTCCTTACACAACAGTAAGACCAAGCACTCAGCTATTTCCTCCTCTTGCATCAACTGCAAACAAGTAAAAAACCAAAAAGCTTTTGCCTGCCTATCAAATATTTATGTTTAAATTTCAGTATCTACTGGAAAGTTTTGGAAAACAATTCAAGGACTTGTCAAGAAATAAGAAAAATACTCTCCCTTTAAACTTTATTTTTTGTTTTCACAATACCAAATAAACTGTTGGATCCTTTAACTCTCCTGAGATCACTCTGAAGTTCAACTGGAAACCTAATTGGATTTTAACAGGAAATCTGATCGTGCATCTAGCAGCTTTAAATGGCATGAATAGAATAGCATTTGAGAATATGCTGCTATTTTGAAGATGGATGTGATTTTCTGATTTTGACAGAAAATGAAAACACAGTGAGAGGCTGTCACAAGCTTCTGAATCAGCCAGATTCTTCTTAGAAGCCAAAGACAGCTTGGCTGAGGTAGGATATTCTCCCACACGTGTCTTTGCCAAAACAGAGAGTGTGCCGAGGCTTTTTTGCTGTTGTTTTTTTCCTCCAGATGGTGTAAGGAGGGATAGACTGCTGGTTGCTTGCCAAGGGTTGTACAATATTGTGGCAAAATGCAATCCCAAGCTGCAGTTTTGAAGGTAGCATATCAATCACTTACTCATCAGGTTCCTATAGTTCTTGCATGTGGGGTCAAACCTTTGTCATTGGGCCAAGGCTATTAACAAGTTTAGTCCAAATGTTTTGAGAGAGACAAAATTTGGTATGGTTTTCTCTCCAAATGTTGATTAAAGTGTCCACTGCTAGGAAGGTAAGAGCCAATATGCAGCTAATCCTTTATAAAAATCTCTATCTCAAACCTAAATTGCTAAATCCCTCAGGTCAGCTAAAAATAATAATGCTTTGGGTTTGCCTGTGATTTTTCTCCATATACATCCAAAGTAAAAGCTAGAAGTTACTTGGTGTCACAAATTATTTACCTTTATATGGTTATGGTTTGAAACAGATTGAGTTTTTGAAGTTTTAGAAAATTTCTTGCACTTAAATGAAGTTATAACAATAAATAGAGCTAAAGATGAAGATTTTTTACTAAAAGGTGTGCAGTTTTCCACCAGATTGATATGTACATCTTCCTCCTGTTGACATGTGTTTTCAAAATAAACCTGATATTAATTGCACCTTCACTGGGTAACACAGTGGCAGAATGATCCACCTTCTGGCTGTCAGGGCTTTGAGTGGGATTAAACACTTCTAGGAAAAAAATTAGCCCCTGAGAGTAGCACATACACACTATTTAGCCACTGTACTTGGGAAAACTTCCAATCCAGGCAGGGTTAGTGACCAAAACAGTCGGGGAAGTCAATCTGCCTCGTCATCTTTCAGGTGTAACTTTATTTTATATAAACTGGTCTTGTTCTAGGTGATCATTTGGCCTTGCAGTAATCTAAGATGCCCAAGGTAATGGTGACTTAAAATAAGTGCACTGGCATTTATGAACATAAAAGAAATTTTAATATGGCAACATGTTGCCATTTTAATAAACTACTACAAGTAGTCTCTCCCTTGTAACAGGAGAGGGCAGGGTTGGTGTTGGATAACAATTTTTAAAGACTTCAGAATGACAGCGTGTATGAAAAACACTTGTAAGAAGATTGCTTTGCAATGAGTTATAAAACATAGGAAAAAGTTCTCCAAAAACCAAGATCAGTTTTTAAAAGTGACTTGACAAGCTAAGTAAGCTTGCTCTCTAATTTAGGCTGTTTTGAAGAAGCATGGATGGGATTTTTAGTGTCTTAGTGATATGACAACAGACAAAAATCTACAATCACTCTTTGGGTGCCCAGTGCGCTGTATCTGGACCACCATAAGTATTTTCTTCCTCAAGTAATAACAGATTATCATCCTGGCTGGCAGGAAATAACCTGTAAATTATATCTATATCTAGCACATATGGAAGAAAAGCTGTCAGATAGTATCATACATGAAAAATCAGTTGCCTTGCTCTACTAACTAAAAGTTTAGCCATAACATTTTTTAATTTGAGAAATGATGAAACCAGCAGTAGCAAGAATAACATTGCTGATTTCCAAAAGTAAATATATTAGATTGAGAGGTAGGTCATTTGTCAGCCACCCCTGTAGATAAAAATGACAAAGACATTTGCTCAATATCACAAAGCCAGAGACTGCAGCACAGTATTCCATGTCAGTATATAAGACCATGTATTCCAAGGCATCTACCTCTTTTTCTGTATACCTCTAGAGTCACTGAAGAAGGTCTCAAAAATCAGCATGCTCCAGCATCTCAAGTTCTGGGGGGAGAGAGAGGTTGCAGGGAGTTGTCTTTATACAGCTGGATCTGTGTCCTTGAATGCCAGTCATAAATTAGACTCCTATTGAATAACAGTGCCCCATGGCACCTGCTGTTAACAACTGCCCTTCAGAGGGACTGAGCAATCTTCTGCAGGATGGATTAGGCATTTTACAGTGCTCATAAGAAACCAATCTGAAAAATAGGTCCCAAACCAATTAAATCATCTCTGCTGGTGGATCTCTAAGTTTTTAAAAACCTGCTGTGTGAAGTTCCTTTTGCAGTATGTTTTAGAAATTAGTTTAGCTATAACTTTAGGTGATAGATGCAGAAAAGAAATGTAGTGGGCCATTTCAATTCTACCTTTCTACTTTCTTTGGCAGTTGATCTTGAGTGCCCACAGAGCCTATTAAACTCATTTTGCTATAGCTTTACTGTTGACATTTGAGATTAAATGCTTGGGTATGAAGGAAATTTTTTTAAGGACTATCATTTTTTGTTTCAATACAGCATTGTCAGGACCACAGGACTGTAACAGCCTGCTGTAGCGTGTTATTTCAATCATTTCTTCTTGCCTAGGGAAAATATTTCTGATTAGTGTAGTTACTGTCCCTTTGTTACAAAGTTTGTACAAAATTCAGCAGTGTTACTGCAACTGAACTTAAGAGGAGCTGTGAATGCTTGGCCATGGCTTTTCCTGTGGACAGTACTCGTTTATCTCCTCTTGTCTGATAAGCTACAAACCAGGATAACTCCTTTCCCAGAGCAGTTGTGAATCCTGGTGCTACAATGAAAGATTTTTCAGTCCCAAAACAATGGTATTCTCAGCCACCCAGTTGTCCTTCAGTCTGAAAGAGATGGAGGCTGGACTCCTGGCGTGTGGGGGGATAGAAAGTAAGAGAACAGAGAGAGTGCAGAAGGCAATCTCACCCCTGAGGAGTTGCAGCTGCACTAATCACCAAAGATTGGGAACAGGCCTGCCCTTAATAGGCCACAGCTGTGTCCAATAAGGATGGGTGCTATAAAAAGGGTGGGTTAGCTGCTTGAGGAAAGAGTTGGAGTTGGTTTTGCTGTGAGGAGGTGCCCATGAGAAATCACTGGGAAGGTAGGGCTCTTTTGCAATAAAATGGTAACACTGGGGTGCTTTGGAGGCTGCTCTAAGAGTGCCCACCTGGACTGCCCTCCCCACAGCTGGCAGTGGGGATGGGTTCAAAAGAAGCCAGAGCCAATGCCTCATGGTTTTACCTCTTGTGGTTGTTCTGGGACAGCATCCCAGCATATCTGTGTTAAGGCCTGGGAATTTAGTTCTGTATCTTTCTCCAAAATACCCAGGACAGCCCATGGAAATGGGCTTCTGCAAGTGTAGGACACCCATGTGTAAATTACACACGTTTTTTAGTGTTTTTTCATGCCCTGAAATGATCTGAAATTTTCAAGGGCAATGTGTGGTAGAAGAGGTTTCATAAGGTGTTTGTATAGTTGTGATAGTATGCAGCCTAATCACACACTTTCTGCTCTCCTGCTTGATGGAAGCTTTTCCTTGATGTCCAGTGGATATTAAGTCATTTAATGACTTGATGAGTAAGAACAAGGTGATTACAGAAGTAGTCTCAGCCAGCTAAAAGTGAGCATGCACGCCTTTTGCTGCTCTGCTTTCTGTTTAAATGGTGCATTTAATCATAGGCGTTGCATTTGGGAAGAGGTGCTTGGTTTGCAGCATGTACCTGACAATGTCATTGGGAGTTTTCTGTTACAGGAAAGACTTTGCCTGAGGGTTTGCCGTGAATATTATATTGTGTATTCCACCCAATGCATAAGAAAGGACCTCTGGGGAGCAAATCAGCCCAGGCTCACACCTATTCCTGAAGTCACCCAGGACTAACAGCTTGTATGCAGCTTGGAGTGCAGTGCTTCTGGGTGAATTAAGAGAGAGGTTTTGGCCAAGTGTGGTCAAGTCTTTGCTCTTACTTTTGTGAGGTTATTGCAGTCTGCCTGGGCTTCTCAAAATTAATAACGTTTACACAAACGCTGTTGTCAGCTGTTGCTTGAGGAGAGATTCTTCCTTTTTGCTGCTCATTCATTCTCTCTGCTCCAAGATCATGTGCACATACAGATACAGCTTCCAGTTGCAGTTTTGACTTCTAAATTTATAAATGAGTGTCAAGCTTCTTGTGCTACTGCTGTTGCTGTCATCTTTCATCTCTAGTGGGATGGGTCTTGTTACATTTGCAGGCTTTTTGTTGCTTAGTCTTCCTGAAGGACACCCAAGATAGCAACAAATACTTCTGAAATGGCGCCACAATGTGTTTCTAGTATGTGTTTTGGCCTCTGGTTCAGCTGGCTTTCTTTTTCTTTTTTTTTTTTTAAGTATTTTGAATAGAGCCTAGATTTGATTGATAGATGTAGTGGGAAGAAATTGAGTTGTTTACTGTGAACCCTGTCTTGCCCCATGGCAGCATAGCTAACTACAGACAGCAGCTACAGCTGTAGACTCCAAATATGAGAAATCCAGAATGTGTTCCGAGGAAAGGCTGATTTACCAAGGATCATTTCCAAGTCCTGCTGATGCCTTGTTTTCTGTCTTTGGTGTCTGTAATTGGCCTGGGCAATGCACGGCTGTTGGTATCTCACACCATGCACTGCTTTATTTCTCTGGTAAAGGTTAATTGTTTAACTGATTAATTATCCAAACAGACTAGATTTAGCAGTGGCAGCTCTTGGATTTTGAGAGGATGCAGCACATTGGCTTTACAAATGTAGCATCTGGCTTTTCCTATTTTAGCATGTGATAACATTTAAAGAGCTGGTCAGGCTTCTGGAGTTTTAAATACCAGATGGGAATTTTATATTCCCTCTTTTCTTTATTATGTCTAGTAAATACTGAAAGAAATAGTGGCTGTCCCAAAAAGTGGACCTGTGCTTTTCAACTCCCAAATGACTGGGTGATTACTTCTGTTGCTACTTTTAGAATTCTCATTATCACCTCTGTCCCTTCACCACTCTAAGCCTTGTCCATGTCCAGCATGTCTGCTTGTTGTTTCTAACACCTTTTTTAGGGGCAGGATGCTCCCTTCTTTTGTTGTCACAGGAGCTAAACTTAAGAGAAAATGGCAGATAGGAGTTGGGCTATGCCCAGATCAAGTTTCTAATGCTCTCAAGCATTTTAATATAAACATAATTATTTTCAAATTAAATAATGCTTTTAGAGCCTTTACTTTGCATTAGAAAAATAAGATAAAAACCAAGAAGACTGCAAGACAACAAAAATTCTTAAATTCCAGTGGACTTCTGATGTTCTCACATACAAGTCAACTGTTTTGTGTTCTTTGTTATGCTTTACAAGCAGCAGAGAAATAAACTTTACGTAGTCAGGGTAAAGTGAGTCTCAGATTCTCCTGAGAGAATCTAAGCTGCAACAGGCATTGCATCTGCAGCTCCTGTGTGTCAGTTGCTGGATCTAGTCCCCAGTGGAAAGAAAAATTATCTGTTTCTGATGAAATGGCTCTTTATGATGGGTGGTGTCAGTAGTGGAGATGCTGAGACATTTGCAAAAATAAACATGTACACTCCAATATGTGAGCTCATTAGATAGTTGCAATAGCTGTTGATCAGTGCAACTGTAATATTTTCTTTGATTTTCTAGCTAAAGATCTACATCTTCCTTAATGAGGATATTGCTTAGACAGAAAATTAATTAATCAGAATTTTGATATAAATGGATCCCTCAATATTATATTAATTTAGATTTAAGTGTGTAGATGCAGAAAACTTTGGTTTCATTTTAAAATATAATAATTTTAAAGGCTCTGAAATAAGTGCTTTTTTTTCTTGTTGTAATTAAAAATGTAAGCACCACATAACTGAAGCAGAAGGGCCTGTTCAATTAAGATTTACAGCTCTCTATTGCATGCTCAGAAATAAGACCCTCATCTTACCTTCAAACATCTAAATATTTGGTTTTGTCTTCTGATGTACAGGAATTCCTTCAAAATATAAGATCACAAAAAGTGCATAATTAGCACTGAATTCTCTGCATAAAGAACAGTACTCTAGAATTTTCACACTATAATGCCTGTTCCTCATGGTAGATCTGCTGCACAGCCATTAAGTTATTCTAGCATTATATAGATAAGCAATTAAAAATGAAACTTGTGTTATCTGAGATTTTTCAATTGTGGTTTTGATGAACAACATGAAAACAGGAAAAGTGAAAGAAAAGTTTTCTATTCCTTACATTTTGCTGACCCTTATCCTTATTTGTAGCTTTTCTGCTAAATATCAAAAGATCTGGCATAATAGAGGATGACAGGAAGCACATCTGACAAAACTCTCTTAAGTCTTGTTGAATAAAACATTTGGTGGAAATGGTTCTTGGCACCATCAGGTTAGCATTGGAAGTGTAATGGCTTTAAAGCAAGCCTAAACACTCCTTGATAAATGACAGTTCCAGATTTTAACATGAGCGTTACAGATGCTGCTGAAGATATCAAAAGGAATGTGCCCAGCAGTTGCCTGGTGCACTTGCTCATGACAATACTGTTTGTGTTGTGTCAGAAAATAATCCACGTTGGTGATCTAACACTGATGATGCTGCCAATTTCTACATTATGAGAAGTAGAAGCCTTGATCATTTTGTCAGTCATGTAGCCAAGGTTCTTGGCTTTCTCTTCTCTACCAAAAGTTCCCCTTTCAGATTTCTCTAGTGTAGTTGGAGGGACCAGCCTATAAAAGTTATCTTATTTTGCTTACTTGTTTTCAATAATAACCGTGCTAAATACTATATAGATTTTGGAAGATATAATCCTGGACAGAATCCAAACTACACTAGATTGGACCTAGATGGTCTTTAGGGTGTCTTCTAACCCAAAAAACTCTTCTGTTTCTATGTTGAAGACTAATATAAGAGTAAATTCCAGGCAATGATTTGGACTTAGCTGCACATGTTTCCCACACAGAGGTTTAGCATCCAGTTTGGAAAACCACAGGCATGGTATGTGCTGAAGCTGACTGCTGCTATGAACTAGTCACTGTTTGCATGAGTTTTGTGGCATTCTCCAGCTCCCCCAAAGCCAAAGCACCAGGGAACATTGTGTCCTTCCACCTTGATGCTAGCGGAAGTGCCTGTTCGTTATGGGCAATTATGAATGCAGAATTCTTTTTTATTGCTATACCTAGACACTTAAAATGAAAGACTCCTAATATGGTCTCCTTGGCACTGGTAAGGTCAGGAAGCATTCAAGGAGGATCAGAGTCACTGGAATGAGAATGATGGTCTTGTCACTTATTTTACATTTCTCTTGGAAAAGCTATCTTTCTGGGAATTATTGTACCTCCACTTATCAAACAGGAATATCAGTAAAACTTGGAGATTTGAATGTGTATTTCAAAGATTTATATTTAAAAATGTAAAACCAAGTTAATTGAGCAATCCTGACCAAAATTGTCTTTTATTTGGTTTCTTGATAACGGAGCTTGGAGATAAAATGAATAGAACATTGCTCAAGTTGATAGATACAGTTTTAGATTTAGAATTCTTTTAAAGCATCAAAAGAAAATAGCTCATTTAGCTCTTAAATGCTCTGATATCAGTAATTTATTTAAAAGTAGGAGTATTTCTTATTCAGAGACAGTTATGGCCTCATCCTTATTAGACACAACTCTCATTGGTATCATCCTGAACTTTGCTTCTCTGACTACTGTGGGTACACATGAGACCACTGACATTTTCAGGAGGCTCACTGTTACATCACTTCTGTTTTGCTAGCTCTTCCCTGCCACTCCTTTCTTGTGGCAGACCACTTGTCCTGTTTCTAAAAATCTATTGGCTTTTTTTTAAGAGGAAAAAAAATAGAGAGGGGAAAAAAGATCTGTATCAAAGGAAATGAATATTTGTGTCTCAGGGAATACTTCATTTTGGCAGTTCCTTGAAAAACTTCAATAATACAAAACCTGAGATAGTCTTGGTAGACTGTTGTGTATAAATATCTGTATTTTGACCCAATCTGTTTCAAGTGAGTCCATTAACAAGAACATAATGTATTTGATTTTTACATTGGTATAAAACAGCAATCAAATTAGCTAGGTGCTGAGTGTATTTAAACTGTA